TCAGTGTTGAAACAGAAACTCTGAATAAAAACGTTAAAGTTCATCGTCCATAATGTGTCGTCTTCTTGTTAATAAATTTAATTATAAAATAAATAAATAAAATAAATCCCGCTTTCATACTTTGAAAAGTCAGAGAACCATCATTTTGACCGGGTGATGGCGCTCTCTGTGGCCCAAAAGGTCTCCCCGTTCTGGGCAGGAGCTCTGGCGAATGTCTCGGTATTATCTCTGAAGCCTCCTGGTAGCGAGCCTGTAACATCGCCAGATTGTTTCTGAATCGATCGGTAGTTTAAATAAAGTTTTTAAGGTGAAGTAAATTTACTCTTGCTCAGTACGGATCGGGTTTTCAGGGCGGATCGGGTAGCGACAGTGTCTGACGGACAGCGAAGGACCTGCCCGTGACGGCGTCCTTCTTCTTGATGAATTAAAGTCTGATGATGCGTTCACGCCAAACACAAACACAGTCATTAACCTTCTTAATGTGTCGGTGTTGAAACGCCTGAACGCCGAGTTTACTCCTCCTGCTCCTCTGTTCCTGAGCCACATCACATCTACATGAGCGCGCACGTGTGTGTGTGTGTGTGTGTGTGTTTGAACAGGTTAACACACATTAAGACAAAGGTACAAAGGGGTTTCCAGGATCTCCAGGCCCTTTTTCAAAGACCCTCCCTGAGCTTTCATTGTAAGGAGTTCAAAGTCCAACCCTCCACGCCTGTACCAGCAGATTCCTTTCACCCATAATGCACCTGCAGAGGTGGTCGCAGTGATGTGATGGCGTACCTGGTTGATGACGTAGACGCCGTAGTCCAGCTGCTGTCTCTGCAGGATGGGGTGGAGGTAGTAGAGCCAGAACTTGAGGTGTTCGTCTCGTTTCCTGAAGGGGATGATGAGCGCCACCTTCTGCTGCGCCTCGCAGTCTTTGGGTTTGAAGCGCCCCCCCGGCTGCAGGTTGGGGTTTTCCTTCACGATCTGGTCCAGACTCACCGGGGTGTTAAACTCCACCCGCAGAGGACCCACTGAGGACGACACAGAGAACAGAATCAGACTAACCCCAGGAGGAGATCGGGTGAAGAGGAGCTTAAAGAAGAGGAGGAGGTGGAAGATCTAGAGCTACAGAGAATAGACTGCTCTGCTGTCATACTAGATTCACTCAACATTAAAACACTCAAACACTCCTGAGTCTGATCCAAACACCACAGAGACTCAAGAACCGGTCCAACTGTGACCTCCTCAGACCTCCACCGGGGAGAGTCCACCTCCGCTCTGGTCCAGGTGCATCAATAAAAACCCAAGTCCAGCAGAGATCCCGGGTCTGGGACTCAGTTCAGGGACCGTGACGAACCCAACTGACTTTGTCTTCAAGCTCAACAGCGAAGACAGCGAACACAGGGCTGTGTTCCTCGCCATGCAGATGGTCACCATCGCCATGGTTACATCTGAGTAGTGTTGGGCGATAAAACTAAAACGATATTGAAAATTAATTTCCCTTATTATCAATATAAAACATGATCGATATGCTTTTCGATAGTCGTCATTAAAAAGGAGAAAAGTTGGTTCTCCAGGATTTATCTGGTTTGGAGCGGGAAGATATTTGGTGTGTGTGTCCCCGTTAAAAGAGACAGATGTCCAGTTTAGTGGGTTTATGTGGTTCAGTGCAGCTCACAGCAGACAGAACACACATATATAATACTGAACACACATATATAATACTGAACTCACATATATAATACTGAACACACATATATAATACTGAACACACATATATAATACTGAACACACATATATAATACACAACACACATATATAATACTGAACATATAATACTGAGCATCAGCCATATTCACAGGAAACAGTAAACATGAACACAATATAACATCCGAGTTAGACAGTGAAACATCCTCAAACTCACTTCTGATATTTACTCACAATAAACCCGGATGAGAAGGTGAATATTTGGTAAAAACAGGTGAAGGAAGTTTACCAACAATCCTCTGCTGCATGAGGAGGAAACTAAACTTTCACAGCTGCAGCATCTCAAACAGGTGCGGTGCGTCAATCATGTCAGAACGACTATAGTGCGTTCAGGAGCGAACACATAAACACAATATAACTGAGCAGTATTTACGTGAAAACACCTACAGGCCTCTAACAGGCATTCTGACATGTTCTGGTCGACTGTACGAACAGCCAATGAAAAGGGGAGTGTCTCCGGGTCTGAACCAATCATGTTCTGAATTAGAACCAAGTATCAACCAGCAGCTACACCCAACCACAGCACTTTAACAGAGACACAAAGACCTCACAGATGCAGGAGATTATTGTGTTGGAAAAGACATGAGACCAATAAACACTGTTACATTTTTATATCCTGATATTGATCGATATCAGCTGATAGAAAAATAATATATCATGATAAACTTTTTCCCGTATCGCCCAGCCCTACATCTGAGACAACAGGGAGTTCATTCTCACTCTTGGACTCATCCTCACTTCTCTTATTTAACCTGAACAGAACTTTAACGTGCTGAAGGGATCCTGAGTCATTGATTTTATATTTATTTTATATTCTGACTGTTTTTACTTTGAGCGTCTGTGTGTCACTATGAGATCTGTTCTCTCAGATGTAAATTATAAATACAATGTATTATTATTATTATTATAGTGGAATTAATATTATAATTTTTTTTTTGATTTGATAATTTTATTTAAGTGTCATACACCAAAATTGGTGCCCAGCCCCATGGGCTTATTAGACACTGTTCAACAAACTCAAAACACAATAATAGTGGAATAAAGAGTGTGAAACAAACACAGAGAAGGTTCAATGACCCCCCCTCCGCCTCCAGACCTCCATGTCAGCAGCTCTAGTCCCAGAGAGTCCAGGTCTGGTTTTAGTCAGTGAAATGGATTCAGAGAGACCAGATTAACAAGCAGAAGACCAACAGGAGGAAACAGTTAGTGTGTGTGTGTGTGTGAGAGTGTGTGTGTGTGTGTGTGTGTGTGTGTGTGTGTGTGTGTGTGTGTGTGTGTGTTGGGCTGTAGAGTCCAAAGATCACCGTAGTGATGATGACGTGTCAGTTTACAGAGTGAGTCGGTTTAACTTCTCACTAAATTTGATCTCATTCAGTCTTTTATCGTTTATCTCTTCCTAGTTTTAATGACAGGATCGTCGCTCTTATTTTAGTTTCTTTTACTGTTTTATTGATTATTTCTTAAATTTCTGAAACGTTCCTCTGTTGTTCGATTTTAAACCTTCAGTGTTTCTTTATCTTGAGTTTTAAAACGGCGTTTCCTCAGTGAACACACTCCTGTTTTTACTAAATCAAATCAAGTTCATGAGTTTTAATTCTGTTCAGATGTGGGAATGAGAGGTTGGTTTAGGGTAGATTTGGGTTTTCTTTGTTTCTTTTATTCCTTTTTCTGTGTAAAACATGGTCTTGTTTGAAAAGTGTGATATAAATAAAGACTGATTGATTGATTGATTGATTGATAATACAGATTTGAAGGATCTGAGGAGTAAAGAAGTTTTAGTTTGTGATTACTAACCAAACCCTCGTCTTCATCATCTTCATCAGTGTCTCAGTAAAGACAGAGGACTGGGAGGATGGGGGGGGGGCCACAGCTGAGTCCACACAGACCCCCCCCCCCCCCCCCCATCAGCCTGATAATAAACCTCACAGATCATCAAAGTTACACAAACTGATCAAACTGGTCCCGGGTCGGCTCAGGTCACTGAAAACAGCAGAAACCCGAAACTTTCCTCCGAGCAGACTTCGGGGTCCGCTCACCGCAGCGCCATCTGAAGAATGTAACCACGTTTTTCCAGTTATACCGTCGCCATGACAACCAGAGAGTCGGCCTTCAGTGCTCAGCGTTCAGGTCCTCCCACTCCTGTTTTAACATCACAAAGGAAGTCCACCTTTGGACACTCAGGAGGACCCAGATCTGGAGTCCTCCTGTCAGAGTAAAAACTGTGTTTTCAGAGACAGACCTCAGACCGCGGGTCAGGAACCTGCTCAGCTGTTTGAAGAAGCGGATCCTGTCAAGACGACAAACACGAGTTTCCTCATTCACATGTTTACGAGCTCCAACTCTTCAAACTGTTTTTCTTCCTCTGATGTTTGTTGGTTTTTAGACTCAGAGTTGACTGACAGGATTCGGTCCAGGTCAGCTCTCCTCCTCCCTCCTGCTGGTCGATTTGAAGACGTGTTACTGAACGTCTGAATGAATCAGATTAAAGTCTGAGGACAGTCAAACATGTTTATCCTGTTTTATGACTGTTTCCAAATAACACCGACTGTCACCGCTCAGTTCTACACAAGAGGAGACCTGCTGTGTTTCAGTGGTGTGTTTATTATGTGTATCATACGGTGGACGGGAAATAAAAAATTAATGCAAAAAAAACAAAAAAAAAACTGAAGCCCGCTGCAGAAAAAAAAGAAAGATAATAAAAAAAAAGACACAACCGAAGTTAACGACACAAAAAAAGTGGGGATGCAAAAAAATAAAAAGTTACTTTCTGCGAAAATAAAAGGATGCAAATAAAAAAGAAACGATGCAAAAAAATAAATAAATAAAATAACGACAAAAAAAGAAATGGTGCAGATAAAAAAAACACAACTGAAGGTAACGATGCAAAAAAAAAAAAAAAAAAGCAGCGATGGAAAAAAAAACTTCATGCAAAAATAAAAGGATTCAAATAAAAAAAGCCACAACCGAATTGAGCTGCTGGGGACCAATAATGATGATGCACCGGTGTTTTACGATCTCGGCACAGAAGACGACGGCGAGAAGACGAACAAAGAAGTTCGTGGAAATGTTATTGATTAATTTCACTTCGTAAACTTTTTAATGTGTCATTTTTTTAGACCGTGTAGCGCCTGAGTCCATATGAAGTTAAACTCAAGCTAACTCTACACCGTCATCCTTCAGTTTAACTACAGCTCACTTCTGTTCTGACTCTTTTTATTTGCATCCTTTTATTTTTGCATAGCCATTTTTTTTTCCGTCATTAACTTCGGTTGTGTCTTTTTTTTAATTTGCAGCTGTGGCGGTTCTCGGCCACCGTAGTATCAGTATGTGTTTGAGTTTAACCTTCCTCCTGTGTTAGTTTTTACTGCACACCCTCCATGTTAGGGTCGGTTCTGACCCGTGTCTTCAATCAGCTGTAAATTAAAAACTATTCTCTATAATCCAGTTTGGTTCTCCTCTCTGGGTTAACTTGTTCGGCTTCATTATCAATGAAAATATTGATTATAATAGTTTTGTAGTGGTCCTCTGCCTCACACAGACATCTGTACTGATCTGACCTGACATGTCTGGACATGCCTGATGTTGTTTTATTGTGCAGGAAAAACATGAAAAATTAGAATTTCCTAAATCTGACATGATCAGAAGAGGATCTGACTGTCAGCGCACTTATGATTTCAGTTTTTGCTCTGATTATTAGATATTGATCTAACCGGGTCAACAGCGACTCTAACACGACAAGCGCCATAATTTTGATAAGAGCATTTTATAACTGAGTCAATTTAACTTTTTTATTTTTATTTTGTTGAAATCAAGGTTCCTGACCTAAATAGGTCTTGATGCAAAAAAGTTAATCGAAGTGGTTCTTTTAAGCATTTTAAATCTAAAACGGGTCGGTACAGACCCGCACACAGGAGGAGGGTTCAGAATATGATTATCATTATCAGAGTAAGTGTGGACATCGACATGGAAAAACAGGCAGCGCTCTGACATCTGGACTCACAGTACAGTCAGCTGCTGTTTCCACTGTGAGAACGCCACAACCTGGACACACAGCCAATCAGACGACAGCTTTAACCCTTCAGGGGCCGAGGAGGGGAGAAGAAGAAGACAGGCTAACAGCGACAGACTGGTGTAAAGCAGTTCAATCTGAGCTTTTATTGTGAAAGGGTCCTCGGATAAACACAGAGCTGTGAATCTTTTCAGTCCTCAGGGTGGCTGAACTGGAGGTTAGAGCTCCATCAGATCCTGAAAACTCGGACTCTCAGTGTTTCTGATGTGATTTATAAAAAATCTGATCATGTGATTTATCCTCCCACGGACAGATCCAGTCTTCACTGAGAAAAACACAGAAACGTATCTGACATGAGGAACTGAAAAACCGTGGAGCTCATAAACTGTGAGAGACTGAAAGGAGGTTCAGGTTTCAGCTCCTCTCTCTCTCTCTCTCTGGGTTATTGTCTGTTTATAAAGTCTGAAACAGTGAATTAAAGAACCTTTTTAATGTTAATTTGATCGTTTTCAGAAAACTTAACTTCCACTAAAACTCCTCCACAAGTTTGTTAAATGAGCTGATGAGTGAAAGTGATTATAATTATAGTTTATTTCAGTGTGAGACTGACATTAGGCTGACATAACCATGAGGACACCTGTCATAATAAGGCTAATAAAGGTCGTCGTTAACGTCGTTCAGTGAATTATAACAGCACGTCGAACACGCCCTTCCTTTGTTCGGTTTCCCTCCCTCACCTGCAGGTTTCGGTTTCTGGGCCTGTTTTTACAAAGTGCTGGTCTCTCCTGGGTCCAGATGGAAATTTCAGGTTCATTTGTTTAACAAATCCACAAACAGCTTGGTTCATTTCTTACCGAGTGAAGAGGGGCAGCTTCTCTCTCTGAGTCTGGTTAACCTGATCGGACACTTCAGAGGGTCTCATATACCAGTCTGCAGATTGACTAACCAGGGATCTGTTCAGTCTGTGCCCATCAGGGTGAACCAGAGCGGCTCAGAGCGCCACACAGAGTCCCTAAATACTGTTAATTACCCCAAACTAAACTTTGAATCAACTCAACACCTGCTAACGAGCCTGAAGCTGTAACCAGACCTCCTGTGCTGCTGTAAAACGTTAAAACTCATCCTTTTTCACTTTGTCTGTGAACAAACAGAAGCTGAGGAGCTCAGGTAGCTTTTGTCTTTTTAACAGTGAAGAAGAAGAAGAGGAAGAACTGGTTTCAGGTAAATACCTGAGTGAGCCTCCAGCACAGTCAGAGCTCACTTTCATGTGCTGTTCCTGTGTTAGTTCAAGAGCTCTGTGTGTGTCAGCTGGTACCAAAGTCCAGGTGAGAGTCTGTTACAGGAAGGAGGAAATGTCAGCAGGTTTTTATTTAAAGGGATATTCAGGGGTAAAATTATTCAGGGTCAAACCCACCGTAACACCGAGTTAGACCCCCCCTCCAGAGATGAATGTTGTCGACCGCTTGCTTCTCTAGTTATACCAACTTTAGTAACGACCGCAGGACAGAAATACAGAGAGACACGCCCTCAACCAAAACGCCACTCTATAGCCACAAATAATGCTCAGAACAGCACCTAACTTCATCAACAGGACATATAGGGTCACAGCCATAGGACTATATTCAGAGTTGTTCTAACTCCTAAGAAAACATAAACTTAAGCGGGGGCGTTTCTTCACCTCTATAGTCTATAAGCTGGGCCAATAAACTTCTACTGTAGTAAAATAAAAAGGTAAAGGTGTTTTTATTGAGACGAATTATCAATAAAATCATGATTTTGTTAACAGGTATGGATTTATGTGCTGTCGAGTTAATATATTTGAACAAGAGCACAGTAAAGTTAAATCAGCTAATTTTTCCAATGAGGTTCTGTTACTGTACGGAACTACACCATGTTCTACTGAGGTTAGTACATATAGGGTCACAGCCATAGTACTAGACACCAAACATCTTTTTAACTTTGACTCATTTCTTTAGCAAAGAGACTAAACACAACTCACCGACTCTCTTCCAGCAGACGCTTGTTTGTAGAGAGACCTCAGGCCAGTCCATTACGGACTACAGCGGGGTGCCACAGCTCAAAGAAAAACATTTATGATCATTTCTTCATGGAAATACAATCAGACCGAGACGCTAAGACAGAAGAACTACAGCGTCTGTAAAATGATTAATATGGTGATTATTACTTCAAGGAAATGATAAAGAAATGATCATAAATGTTCTTCCTTGAGCTGCGGCACCCCGCTGTAGTCTGTAATGGACTAGCCTGAGGTCTCTATATAGAGTGGCGTTTTGGTTGAGGTTTGTTTATGTCTCCTCAGACCTCTCTGTATTTCTATCCTGCGGTCGTTACTAAAGTTGGTATAACTAGAGAAGGAAGCGGTCGACAACATTCATCTCTGGAGGGGGGCGGGGTCTAACTCGGGGTTACGGTTAGTTTGACCATAACTTAATTTTACGCAGGAATATCCCTTTAAGGTGGACAGAGGAGAAGAGGACAACTGACCTGCTTTTGGAAAGGACAACTGGACTGAGTTGAGTCCAGTTGTCCTTTCAACAAAGAACTGAAAATCATAGATGCTTCATGCCCCTCAGGGATTACAACATTTGGAGCATCATGACCCCAAAAACTGGTCTGCTGGGTCCACTAAGGTCTACAGAGGAGGTCTGATAACACACAAGGTTGTGATCAGCTGCTCTGAAGGTTCCTGTTATCAGACTCTGTCACAGTGAAAATGAACCTGAGAGCCAGTGTTTCAGGTGTATCTCAGGTATGTTGTTGGACCTGCCCCCGGTCTGTCGGTCCTGTCCCACCCGCTGAACATTGTGTGTGTGTGTGTGTGTGTGTGTGTGTGTTCATAAAGGTATGTCGCTGCAGGCTGTCCTTGTTGTTGCAGCAGCAGAAATGTAAACCACTGTTCACTTTCTGCAGCCGTGAAATTTTAAACTCTATGATACAACGGTCCGCCCCTGACCGAGCGATCTGATTGGACGAGAGTTATTCTGAGAGCTCAGGACCTCAGGTGTCTGTCTGCACAAACACAGGCGAAGAAAAGGTTACCTGCAGGAAGTGTTGGTTCAGATTATTCACACCCTCATTGTGTGGTTACAGACTAAAGCCACTGTTTAAAGAAACACGTTATCATCACCATCAATGCAGATAATACTCAGGTAACATGGAGACACGCTCAGGTGAGCATGCGAGCTGATTGGCTCACAGGTAAGAGAAGCTGTCAGACTGGCTGTGTCAGTTCCAAAGGAATAAAAGAAGAAAAAACAGGGTAACTTTGGTACATACGGGAAAACAAATGATCTTCCTTCACCACACACACACACACACACACACACACACACACACACAGATACTGAGCGTGTGCACGGTGATAATGACTCGCAGCATTAAAGTGACGTCTGGCAGACTTTCCTGGAGGAGCGATGACCATGAGCGTGTGTGTCAGGTCACATGACTGATGAGTTTTTAAAGACTCAGCTCCACCTGTCCACCCCCGCCGTCACAGAGCTGATTTTACAACCGTCCATCCTGAATCACAGCATATTAAAAACTGTTTCATATAATTCTGCTTTAATTTATAGAATAATCAAGTTTAATGTGACCTCAGTAGGCTTTCCCCGGTGACAGTACCATACACCTCGGTATTTCATGGTGACGGTATATTAAAAAATAAACTTTACTAGGGGCTATGAAATGACAACCGAAACACACAAGGATCATCCTCACAAGAAAACGTTGCTTTATCTTTGCAAAATCTGTGTCTGTCTGTGTGGTGTGTCTCGTCTGTATGAGTAACATTAGTGTACTATACTTTATGTACACAATAAACCAGACAATTATTTAACTCAAACAAATATTGTGGTCTGGTTTGGAGGGGTCTGCCATCATCATGCCATCATTGTGCACGCTTCCTGGAATGGATCATGTGGATATGGCGGGGCGTCACTTTAGGTGTGTTTTATACCAAAACTACCTTTCCTGGGGGGGGGGCTTGATTGTTGGACTGAACCATTTACAGGGTGCAGCGCATAGTCATCATGGGCACGGCAGCCTGCCCAGAACTAATGGAAGATACGACCGTGTTTTTTCCAGCACTCCGCAGGTTCAATATTTCGGTGCTGCTGTCTTACTGTAGCCCAGACTGACCACTAATGTTCATGTGAACGTGAAGTGATATCTTTATTATGGCGCTACATAATATTGAAATTACGTCACCGTGACTTTATTTCATCGCGATGACGGTGTTTACGGTATACCGCGGAAAGCCTAGACCTCAGTTAAAAAACGTATTTAATAGACGTCACCGGCTGAAATAATTCTGTGTAAAATGTCCATATGTACAGTACAGGCCAAAAGTTTGGACACACCTTCTCATTTGATGCGTTTTCTTTATTTTCATGACTGTTTGTTTTATTTATTTGACACTGTTGGGGATTTATTTAAAACTGATCCAGCAGGGAGACCACAGCATCCTGCAGTGACATGCCATCCCATCCGGTTTGCTTTGTTTCGTCGGACGATCATTTATTTTTCAGCAGGACAAAGACCCCAAACACACCTCCAGGCTGTGTAAGGGCTATTTGACCAAGAAAGAGAGTGATGGGGTGCTGCGGCAGATGACCTGGCCTCCACAGTCAGCTGGACCGCAGAGTGAAGGCAAAGGGGGCAACAAGTGCTAAACACCTCTGAGAACTCAGAAACCATTTCAGGTGACCACCGAGAGACTGCTGAGAGTGTGCAGAGCAGTACTCAGAGCAAAGGGTGGCTGTTTTAAAGAAACTAGAATATGAAACATGTTTTCAGTTATTTCACCTTTTTTTGTCAAGTAGGTAACTCCACACGTGTTCATTCATAGTTCTGATGCCTTCAGTGAGAATCGACGACGTAAACCGTCATGAGAATAAAGAAAACGCATCGAATGAGAAGGTGTGTCCAAACTTTCGGCCTGTACTGTACTTGTGTTTTTTTCTGTCTTTATCATTACAGACAGCTGGACAGAGCTCTATTTTATCCACTATAAAGCATCATCAGGGAGAGTGTCAATCACACAGACCTGAAACTGAACTGGAGACACAAAAAAGTGACCAAACTGAACATTAACCAAGGATGTCTGTGATGGTGAAGCTATTTCTGACTGTGTTATCCTTTAAAACGACAACAATAAACCCACAAATTCAAAGTGTGTCCTTCCTCTCAGTCTTGGTTTCAGACCATTTAAACATTAATTCAAAGTCTGTATCATCAAGTTTATTTTATTGACTTAATAAATCATCACACGCTGCTAAGAACTGATCTGAACTTTGTTCCTGTAGATTCAGACACATGTGACCTGCTGTGATATTCTATAGAAACTCATTTGGTTTAATCATTACAGTCATTAAACAGCTCTGACAGTTCCTTATCTAACACACAACCACGTCCTCTGTGTGTGTGTGTGTGTGTGCGTGTGTGTGTGTGTGTGTGTGTGTGTGTGTGTGTGTGTGTGTGTGTGTGAGTGTGCGTGTGTGAGTGTGTGTGTGTGTGTGTGTGTGTGTGAGTGTGCGTGCGTGCGTGCGTGCGTGCGTGCGTGCGTGTGTGTGTCAGATTAAAACAGTCAGATTAAAACAGACGGATTGAAACAGTCAGAAGAAAACAGTCAGGTTAAAACAGTCAGAGGAAAACAGTCAGGTTAAAACAGTCAGAGGAAAACAGTCAGGTTAAAACAGTCAGGTTAAAACAGTCAGGTTAAAACAGTCAGAGTAAAACAGTCAGGTTAAAACAGTCAGGTTAAAACAGTCAGAGGAAAACAGTCAGGTTAAAACAGTCAGAGGAAAACAGTCAGGTTAAAACAGTCAGGTTAAAACAGTCAGGTTAAAACAGTCAGGTTAAAACAGTCAGGTTAAAACAGTCAGAGTAAAACAGTCAGAGTAAAACAGACGGATTGAAACAGTCAGAAGAAAACAGTCAGGTTAAAACAGTCAGAGGAAAACAGTCAGGTTAAAACAGTCAGGTTAAAACAGTCAGGTTAAAACAGTCAGATTAAAACAGTCAGGTTAAAACAGTCAGATTAAAACAGTCAGATTAAAACAGTCAGAGGAAAACAGTCAGGTTAAAACAGTCAGATTAAAACAGTCAGAGGAAAACAGTCAGATTAAAACAGTCAGATTAAAACAGTCAGGTTAAAACAGTCAGAGGAAAACAGTCAGTGGAAAACAGTCAGAGGAAAACAGTCAGAGGAAAACAGATTAAAACAGTCAGATTAAAACAGTCAGAGGAAAACAGTCAGATTAAAACAGACAGTGTAAAACAGTCAGATTAAAACAGTCAGGTTAAAACAGTCAGAGGAAAGCAATCAGGTTAAAACAGTCAGATTAAAACAGTCAGGTTAAAACAGTCAGATTAAAACAGTCAGAGGAAAACAGTCAGTGGAAAACAGATTAAAACAGTCAGATTAAAACAGTCAGAGGAAAACAGTCAGATTAAAACAGTCAGTGTAAAACAGTCAGATTAAAACAGTCAGATTAAAACAGTCAGATTAAAACAGTCAGAGTAAAACAGTCAGAGGAAAACAGTCAGATTAAAACAGTCAGATTGAAACAGTCAGATTGAAACAGTCAGGTTAAAACAGTCAGGTTAAAACAGTCAGGTTAAAACAGTCAGATTGAAACAGTCAGATTGAAACAGTCAGGTTAAAACAGTCAGGTTAAAACAGTCAGGTTAAAACAGCCTGTTCTGACTGAATTAGTGAATCCAAAGCAGTTAAAGGGACTTTTGAAGCAGATCTTCTTTTATGTAAAATCACAGACAGAGACTAATATTAATATTTCTGAGTCTGAGTCACTGAAGACTGACCACACACACACACACACACAAACAAACAAACACACACACGAACACACACACGAACACAGACTTCTTACCGAGCAGGGGGGATGTTTCGGGGCATTTCTCCAGCTTCTTCGGCTCCTCTTCGGCCTTCTTCGGCTCCTCCTCGGCCTTCTCCGGAGGGGGCTCCGTGGGTTTCTGCTCCGGCTGCTCGTCCTCCTTCGGGGACTCGTTGGGCCGTGGTTCGGTCTTGACACTCTGTTCGCTCCCCCTGGTCTGGTTCTGTTGGAGCACGTGTCTAAAGGCCTGGTTCCGCTGGGTGCCGGCGTTCCGGGACTGCTGGTTCTGTACGAAGGCGACCCGGACGTCCATTGAGCGGACGTAAAAGAAGACCGTGACAGCAATGTGGAGCAGACTGAGCAGCACCACCAGCTTACAGGTCCGGTGCAGGAGGTTAAAGTTCACAGTTTCTGCGGGCATCCCGTCTGGCTGCTTCGATACCCAGTTAATCGATTAAAACGATGGTCGGAGTTGGTGACTGCGGTAAAGAGAACGAACTCCTGTTAGCTGCTGCCCCTGAACTCCATTTTCTGTTAACTTTACCCCAAAGTTTCGAAGTTTTTAATTAACAACCTCCAGTCAAAGTGTCCCGAAAGACTTTTAAAAATAAACCGATTCACAGCAGAAAGAGTCGGTTAAAGTTTCGGCTCGTTCAGTTAATCCGGCTCTTCAAAGTGCCGCTAACTGTTGACGCTATCGGACCTAGCCGCTCAGGAACTCAATGTTTCCGTCACAGAGTCCGTTAAAACACCGTGAGCCCAAAACACCCAAAGTCCGTCCACAGTCAACGACCCGAGTATTTCTAAAAGATCCTTCACGGAGTTCGGTCTAATGTTAAAAAAATAATAAGGATCCTGTTTTCAGACACTAACTCTCAAAAGTTAGAGAGAAACTCGACAACCTTCGCCGTTCAGACTGTCGCTGCTGAGGTCTCCGATCTGTCAGGGTGACGAAACCAGCCACAACACTTCCGGTGACGTCTTAGAAAATAAAAACAGGAAATTCAACAATCCGAAACCTTTTCCTTTTTTGATCCGAAACTTTTTCGTTTTTTTTTTTCGTTTTTTTTTTCAATCCGAAACCTATTCTTTTTTTAATCTAAAACGTTTTTTTTAATCCGAAACTTTTTCTTTTTTTTCTTTTTTTTTCAATCCGAAACTTTTTCTTTTTTCTTTTTTTTTTCTTGGGGGGGTCTGTTTCGTTTTGTTTTACACTAACCTCGTGACCTTGTGTGAAAATAATGCACATTATAGATATAATCCCTAAAGACATGCCTCCTGACCCGGGCGCTGAGAAGAGGGGGATTCTAGGGGCCCATGATTGAGAGGGGCCCTGAGGTGCCCCTAATAAAGTTATACTGAAAAAAATAACATGATTCTAAGTTATATGTCACCCAGTATTTCATGAAGAGAGGTGGGTTTATGAGTGGTTCACGTTGTTGAAAGTGTAAATATTAACTTTGGTTTTTAATCTAGCTCACTTTTCTCCCCATGTCAGCTCAAGAAAACTCTGAATATTTGTGTTTCACTGTTTTAGTTAAATTCTGAATAAGAACTGCCTTCATCTGCTGTACTTTTCACTTGTGATGCCTTATATGACACACTAACTAACTGAAGGGGGCTGCTAATGTTTGAAACTTACAAAGTCAGATGTGTGTCAGTTTGGACTAAACGATGAAATAAAGATGTGTAATTCTATGTTAGTTTTCAAGAAGACTTTAAAATTATCAAAGGTTACAATGAAATTTGATGGATTCAATTTTTCAGTTTAAGCTCTTACATGTCTATTTTGTGTTTTGTAATGATAAACTAGTACTGATGTTTTATTGTGAATTATTCCTATGATGGTAAAGGATAGACAAAAATAAGCCTTAGGACTTCAGCCTATTCCTTTTTTGGTTTCTGTCTAATGTTTTTTTTTTTTTGAAAAAATATGATTTTATATTTTTGTTTTTTTAAACTGAAATAAAAGCATTCATTCATTCATTCAAATAAGTGTTGGATTAATCATAATGACAAACTTTATCACAGTCTCAAAACAATAAAAAGATGAATCTGTTATATAGGAAAATATCAAAATAATTCTGAACAATTTTAATGGTTTAAGATGCATAACTGTTTTTATTTTGTTAAATTCAGCTGCCATTGAAAAAGAATAAGTGTAGTAGGAAGAGAAGAAAATTATGTTGTGTGCAGCAGACTGAGGTGACCGCTCTCAGAGTGATCAGTGCTTTCCCTTCATGTCATCTGTCATATAATTCTGTTTTAACAAATATGGGAATAGTAGTTATAATAGTAGTAGGAATAGTAGTAGTATAATAGTATAATGATAATAGAATAGTACAGTAATAGAATAGTAGTAAGAAGTAGTAAGAAGAATAATAGTCAATAGTAACATAAAAATACATAATTTTATGTAAAAAAAGCATTAAAAAAATGTGGCCTTTTGTGTTGGGGCCCTGTAAAAGAATCCCTAGCTGTTACACTTTTATTGGTCTTCAATATTTTTGTTTGTATCCTTATTTTATTGTATTCCTTCAGTACTTATTGTGTGTTTTATCTGTACTCCTTTGAGTCCTGTCATCCAGGGCATTTCATTGCATTGTTGACCTTGTTTAACATGAACATGACTAATAAACCAATCTTGAATCTTGAATCTAAAGTACAATTTACGAAGGCTGGTGGTCTGCAGGATAACAGGGTTTAAAATGATATTTTTTTACATATTCAAAAATATGACGAAACAGAAAACAAGAAGTAAAAAGACTGAATCTACATATTAGATTGTCCAATAATGACTTTGTCCAATGATTTACTTGTTTTTGTATTCTGGTTATTTTTAACTAAATGACTTATGTGTGGATCAGATTACCAGGAGTCTGAACGGCAGAAAGAATAACATAAAAAAGATTAGTTATAAGATTACCATGACCTGCATGTAAAACCAATCAGTGGTCAAATGTTTTGTTAATGACAGTACTATCTGTAAGTGTGCTATGGTGAATGTACACTTGAGGGATGTACCACTGAAATCTTAGTTCGTGAAATAAGACTGTGTTATATCAATAAATGTTTCTTAGATGGGTGGTTTTAGTCTTTCATACCTTTTGTGGTTCGTTGGGGGAGCAGCATCGGAGCCAGTGACACCAACAGACTCAACAAACTGATCAGGAAGGCTGGCTCCGTGATTGGCTGCAAACAGGACACTGTGGAGGCTGTGGTGGAGAGGAGGACACTGACCAAACTGTTATCCATCATGGAGAACCCTGACCACCCTCTCCACCTCACTCTGGACAGACTGTTGCAGCTCCGCTGTCGAAGGGACAGACACAGGAAATCTTTACTGCCACAAACAATTGTCTGTTTATTACTTTAATATGATTAAATGTGGTTCTCTGGGGTTCTGGTTCCGTGTAGTCATGTGGACCGTCCACTGGTCCCGAACTCAGCAAATAAACTTCTTTTATTTTGAAAGGGCTCGGAGAGGGTTTTGTCATTTTTGGAGCATATGAGTGAGGCTCGAGGAAGGGGGCGTGGTCCGTGGATGTGTCAGTTTATGACGACACTGACCGCCCACACAGAAAAGTTTATATCACCTTCTGATCAGTTAATCATTGATCACTGATCAGATCTAATTATAGAAAGTTAATCTGGGTTTATTTAGAGAAAAAAACCTTTTTAGTTCATGACTCTCCTGACTGTCATTTCAAAATTAAATAAAAGTTTCAAAGTTATTATTTAAAAAACATAATAGAAGTTAATACACAGTTTAATGTCTTTAGATGCTGATTTATGAAGTCCAGATAAAAGTTTGTAACCCTGAATAACTCCATCATCGTCTCTTTAGAGGCTCTTAAACTTTGTACTCCAATCAGACTCATTCACGTGGCGGGGACGGAGATGAAGCAGAGACGCCCTCATGTGGTGGAAAATCGCAATAATCGTTAACATCATCATCAATTTCAACTTTATTTTTATGGCACTTTTCAGACAAAAACGTGAACGATCATCTCAGGCTAATTCCTGGACACGATGGGTCTGATTTCGGATATTCTGTATGTCTTGATAACAGGATGAGCGAACCCGTCCATTAACACCCTGCTCCAGACTTTGGGCCCGGTCCATTTGGACACCCGGGACGGTTTTACAGCAGAGGATGAGACATCAAGACATTTCTTCACTTTTGGCACAACAGGCTCAGATTCTGAGATAAAAATCAAATCAACTTTATTCATCCGTTAGGAACTTCACTTGCAGAGAAAGTGCCAGTGCAGAAACAAATAAAATGATGCAAATAACCCTCAGACCAGTTTAAACCAGTGTTTCCAGTATCTAAATGGTTGTGTGTATCTGTCACTCTCTCTGTTTGAATACAAACATCCTGAAGACACTTTCAGACCTGAATCGTGCGGCCTGTTGAAATGACCTTCTCCTGTTCTCTGCTCACGGTCTACTGTCCTTTTATCTAATGTTGGCTAATGTCGACTTCTCTGGTCAAATCTATCCAATTAAACTTCTATTGAACTTTGAAACAAGAGGACAAAGAGTTATTTTCCTTGATAACATAAACAGTGTTTTCTGATGAAAAACCTCCAACCCTGTTACCCTTTGATAGAAACTGCATATTTTATTTTGGAAGCTGCAGATACAGGACTGTTTCCTGGGCTGCTGTGCCGGCACTTACCCCTCACACCAGTTTCAGGCATCAGAAATTAATATAAAAAAATATCATTCATGCCACCAATGCTCTTTTTGTTTTTGCCTCTCAATGTTGTAAATAGGCATCAATAAGAATTTCAGTTTATTTCAATTTAGTGATTTGAATATATAATAAATGTCCCAAGATTAAAAATCTCAAATTATGATATTTATGCCCTCGTTTAAAGGGACACCACCGACCCTTAACGGTGGGAGAATAAAGAAAAACTAAAGTTTAATTCAGAAATCAAACATTAAGTCAATCTTAAATTAAACTATCTCATATCTCAAGAGTCAGATCTGATACTCACTCATGATTAATGTCATTGAACGCTTGGTTCATAATAAATGATTTGACACTAAACTCATATAAAGAAATGTAGAATCACATCAAACATTCTCATTATGTTTTAAGTATCACATTAAACATGCTAAATTACTCTGAAATGAAACAGACAGTAACACATTGAAACTGTGAACAATAAAAGAGTAAACACATGTGAATGAACTTCATCATGATCAATAATGGACGCTAACATTCAGATTATTCAATGACCCTATAACCACCTAATGGTTAAAAAGACTAAATAAACGATTAAAATATAAAACAAAAATTTCTAAACAATTTCTGTTACTTAGAGTAAAGTTAGGAATCAAATTTAACTCTTCAAAGTTCACGACACAGTCTGAAAAGCTGATGGTCTAAAGAAACTAAAGAATACAGATTTATTCTGTCAGAGTGAGAACAGCACTCTGGAGCACATAGAAACACGAGAAACATCTAATTTTAACACAAATTTCATGATTAGACAGTTTAGTACATTTCTGAATGCAGAAGACGTCATTATCAGTCATTTGTTTTCTTTCTCCAAAGGAATGTAGTCTTTATCAGTGCATGGTCAAGCAGGGATTTACGACCGAGGTCTGGAGGCCGGCATCCTGCTCCTCAGACCTTTCCTTTGATCCCATGTGTTCAAGTTCTTAACGACAGTTAATCTCCAATGGAAGACCTGAGCTGAGGCGTTGATGTTTATTCAGATGGTCAGTGATTGAGTCAGTTTGAAAGGAAATAAAAACTCTGTCTCTGTTCTCCAAATTCACCAAGTGTGAAGAGCCGGAGGTTTACCTGAGAGGAATGTGTGAGTTTCACCCACAGGGTTGTTTTGATGCTACACCAATAAGAACTCCTGACAGGAGCTTTAATGTCTAAAAACAGAAAGAGAGTAAAAATGTTGAACTTTCACTCTCAAGTTTGTTGTATTGGAAACAAACACTGTAAAGCTTCTTTAACTTTAACTTTATCATAGGAGACTACTTTTTTTTTCCTGCTATATTCTCAAGATGACAGTTCTGTTTACACTCAGTCTGTTGGTTTGCAGGGATGAACAACATCCTGAAATATCTGCAGATACACGAGTTAGAGACTAAACTAGGACTGACTTGATGGACTGATCCTACTCCTTTTCAGACATGTTGGGTTTGCATTATTTATATTATTTTATATTATTTTTACCTTTTTTCTTTGATTATTGTTAGTTTTGTTTTCAGTATTCTCACTGGTTATGTTTGTTTTCAGTTTACTTTTGGTGTTGCACGCACATGTTTGACAAAAATAACAAAATGAAAAATGAAACTCATGCCCATTCTCTGAATGTGTGTATGTGGGGGTGCGTTGGCGTGTGTGCGTGTGTGTAGGTGGGGGGGCATCTGGGATATTTTTTGTTTGTTTGTTTTTAACAAGACTGTACAGCACTTTGAATCACCTTCCTGTATAAATAAAGTTGATTGATTGATTGATTGATTGATTGAAATATGAAAAACGGCTCATCTTACCCCAGCGTGAGGGAGCGTGGTAAGAAGAAAGGAGGCGGGATAGCGGTGTATGTGAATGAGAGATGGTGTAATGCTGGGCACGTCAGTGTTAAAGAGCAGCTCTGCTCTAAGGACGTTGAGCTGCTGGCTGTGAGTTTGCGGCCTTATTACCTGCCGAGGGAGTTTTCGCACGTCATCGCGTTAACTGTTTACATCCCCCCCTCGGCTGATGCTGCTGCAGCCTGTGAACTCCTCCATAATGAAGTGTCCAAGCTACAGACATCACACCCTCAGTCTCTGATCATCATCTCTGGAGACTTTAATCATGCATCGCTGTCCTCCGCTCTCCCTACCTTCAGCCAGTATGTAAACTGCCCAACAAGAGACAATAAAACTTGGACTTACTGTATACATACACCTCCTCCCCTCGCTGGGCCGCTCAGATCACAACCTGGTGAGACTGCAGCCCATTTACATACCTATGGTGAAGAAACAACCCCCCACCATCAGGTATGTTAAGAGGTGGTCTGAGGAGGCCACTGAGGCGCTGCAGGACTGTTTTGAGACCACAGACTGGGATGTACTGTGCGGCCCACATGGTGATGACATTGACACCATGACTGACTGCATCACGGACTATATTAACTTCTGTGTTGAGAACACCGTACCCACCAGGAAAGTACGGTGTTTCTCCAACAGCAAACCCTGGGTGACCCCGGAACTGAAAGTCCTCCTGAAGGAGAAGAGGAGGGTCTTTAAATCTGGGGACAATGAGGAGCTGAGGAGGGTGCAGAAGGAGTTGAAGAAGAAGATCAGAGAGGGGAAGGCCAGCCACAAGACCAAGATGGAAAACCCTCTGCAACAGAACAACGCAAGGGAGGTCTGGAGAGGCCTAAAATCCATCTCAGGTCATAGCAGGGGCCATGAGAGGGGACCTGAAGCAGGAGACAGGGAGTGGGCCAACGAGCTGAATCTGTTCTTCAATAGATTTGACTCTGCTCCCACTCCTCCCCCGACTCATCTAACCAACGACCCGTCTGCTGCTCCTTCTTCTTCACATCACCTCAGTCCCAGGGCACCAACACCATCAACCCCCCTCCACTCATCCTCCACCACCCCCAGCCTCTCCATAACAGCTGACCAGGTGAGAAATGAGCTGAGGAAGATGAAGCCAAGGAAAGCCACGGGTCCTGATGGCATCAGCCCCAGACTCCTGAAGGACTGTGCAGACCAGCTCTGTGAGGTGCTACTGCACATCTTCAGCTTGAGCCTGAGTCTGGAGAGGGTCCCAACACTGTGGAAGACTTCCTGCGTGATTCCTGTTCCCAAGACAGCGCACCCCAGGGAGCCCAACCACTTCAGACCTGTGGCCCTCACTTCTCACCTGATGAAGACTCTGGAGAGGATCGTGCTGAGGAACCTCCGCCCCCTGGTGAGCTCTCATCTGGATCCTCTGAAGTTTGCGTACCAGCCGAACATCGGGGTGGACGACGCTGTGATCTACCTGCTGCAGAGGTCCACGGCTCACCTGGAGAACACTGGCAGCACTGTGAGGGTCATGTGTTTTGACTTCTCCAGTGCGTTCAACACCATCCAGCCTTCACTGCTCAGGGGGAAGCAAAAATGCAGTTATTGTTATAACTGCATTTTTGCACTTTTTGTCTTGTCTGTGATGCTGCTGTGACAAAAAAATTTCCCCCATGGGGATCAATAAAGGAATATTCTATTCTATATTCTATTCTATTCTCTCCCCTATTTCAACTAACAATTAATAAAATCAAATCCAGTCAGTAGTTCAGGTGAAACCCCAGATTAACTTCTATGTTTCGGTGTGAATCATTTTGAACTCTTTAACTGTAAAACTCTACAGTCTATATATGATAATTATGATAATGATACAGTAATAACACGGTAATAAACGCGTCCACGTTAATTTATTCACCGGCTTCCAGCTCGCTGCTGGGCCGACGTGCTGACGTCACCGAGCGTACGTCCCTCTCTCGTTGCTGTGGAGGAATGTGCGGAAACTTCTGCAGCACTGTTCTGTCTGCGCTGTTCGTCGAAGAGAAAAAGTGCCACAACTCGAAGAAAAGTGGAGGAAACTTCGCTAAAGTTCGGCGGTGAAGAGTCGGTGAGTGTCCCCGTGTGCGTGTGTCTGTGTGCGGGCCTGTAAGCGGACAGGGAGCCGCTGTTTATCGGAGCTCCGGAGCTGAAAGTTGTAGTGAGTTGGTCTAAAATGGAGGCGGTGAGGAGGAGACGAAGAAGGCGCTGTCCGGGGCTGATCAGGACCATGGCTAACACTCCGACACACACCAACACACCACAAACAGGCTTTTATTAAACTCTAACTGCGAAAAACTAAAGGGAAAACGACATGAAATACTTTCTGTTAACTTTTTAATACCCAGAACTAAATGTCGCTTCCGCAAACTAAGTTTAGAAAAACTCTGTAAATCTGAGGCACCGATTTTAACCTCTAAAACTTACTATTTTACTTTTCCAGAGTGAATTGAGACTATATACACTCCGGGAGGGTTAAAGAACAGACAAACTCTCACTTTTTAATCTTTAACCGACTTTTGATCCGATTATCCCCGGTTTTTTAAAATCAAATTTACACCTTCGAAATAAAGTCTGACGACGTTAAACATTCACTTATTAACAGCTTCTGACCGAGAATCCAAGTTTTTCTCCCGGATTTCCTGAAAATGTCCGTTAATGTCTGTTTTCAGCCGAACACTGATCTCTGTTTTTCTCCGTAAACTGGTCTGTATTAAACCTCAGTCCTCAGGGAAGTTAAAGTTTAAAGTCTAATGTGTCGTTTTAAGTATTAGTGGCGGTTTTAAAGTGAAATTTGTAGTACTTAAGTGGGATTTGTAGTTTTGCAGACAAATCTGTGAACGGGGTTTCCCTGAGGGCTCGTGGCGCTGTCGACTGAACTGTGGTGCTGTTTCAAAATGGCCGACAGACACATTTCCCCAGAGTGACCTGAGGTTCAAAGTTTAACAATAGACTCCAGAATAATGTAAAAAAAATGACATTAACTCTAGTTATATAACTCTGAACAAAGTGTCCGGACCCTGAAGAACTCAGATGTGTTCAAAGAGGCAGTTTATGGTGCTGAATAATCCCACACTGGACAGTCAGTGAGCCTCACTGTTATTGTGTCAGTGTTACAGTCAGTGCGTTTACATGCACGGTTTAATCGGACTAAGCTCATAATTCGTTTTTTCACCGAATCAGACTTCTCTCCTTGTCCGCGTATTCATGTAGCTTAAAGAATTGTCCTCCGGCGCTGTTTCCGACCACGTACAACCGTCAACAACAACAGCAGGTCGGTGTCAGACGTCAGAAGTGTCTACAACTGCTGCTGGGCATTTTGGAGAAACAAGAAGATGGAGCATCGTACAGCGTTGTTTTTGTCCGACATGATGGACGCGCTACTTTTTCTAAAGATGAGACGAACGCTACTCCTCTTCTCTGGTGTTTTTGTTCCGGGGTTACGGGGGCGTGGCGCACATGCATTGTCAGATCATACTCCAGTCACATTATCTGGGAGTCTTAATCAGAGTTCTCACACTCTGATTATATTCAGACTAAGGTGTTAACGTGCACTTCAGTTGTCTGGTCTTAATCGGAGTAAGGCGATGATTCGGTTTTCTTGAGTGTTATGGAAACGGACTGAGTGACACTGCATCCAAACTTAAAGAGGTCCGAGCTGCACTGAAGCAAAGCTGATCAGGTGTTTATCAGGTTCAGTCTGAACACGGCAGAAATCATTCAGGTTCCTGGGCCACATAAACAGTTAAAACTGCGTTAGGCTGTTTTAATATTACAATTTAATACGACTATTTAATGTTTTTAATGTTATTTAATTAAAACTGTTTTTATAGCAACAACACAACATGTAAGAAAACCGAGCTCTTTGTATAATAAGAACCTCATTTATAGTTTGACTCATTTTTCATCTGCCAACATGGAGGAGGCGGGGTTTATGGCCGATACTGCAGCCAGCAGGGGGAGCTCTGAACATTTTTGGCTTTACTTTCAGGAATATTCTGGAACAAACCATCCTGTTGTGAATATTTAATTAATGGATTTTTACGGGTCTTCATGGACCTGAACCGAGTCGGAGCTTCAGGGTGTGAAACAGTTTATTTCACCTCCACCTGTTGACCTTCATATCACCTTTATACATCTCACACCTTCGTGTCATCGGCTCTGCAGCTTCCTGTCCCGTGGAGGTGAAGATCTGAGCTCGTCATGGCCGCTCAGACTGTGTTCTCCGTGGGGATGTTTCCTGTGGGCGTGTCTCTGGTGGAAGACGCTCAGAACGAGATGCCGAGCAACATGCTGCCCGCCCCTCAGCTGGTGATGCTCGCAAATGTTGCAGCAGTGACTGCGGCCGAGGGCGGCGGCAGCGGTGACGGGAACGCAGGAGACGAGAAGGAGATGATGGAACTGACGACAGTGGGATGCAGCTACTCCGACAGCGAGGACGAGAACATCATCAGGTGAGGGATCAGTCTGCTGCACTCACCTGTGTGTGTGATCATAATGTCTGTGTGTGAACTCACCTGTGTGTAAACTCACCTGTGTGTCTGCTCAGGTACAGCTTTGATAACCAGAACCACAGGGAGGTCTGTATCATCGAGTACCCCGAGTCTCCAGGCCCGAGCATCCAGGCTGTGGTCGTAGGAAACTCGGCACGGCAAGAGGAAGAGGAGGAGGAGGAGGAGGAGGATGATGATAAAGAAAAAGACGAAGATCTGCCACGGCGTACTCGCCCTTGCCCACCTGCCACCACAAAAACACCCGAGCAAGGCATCAAGCGCAAAGTTACCCCCGCCCCTGCGACGGAAAGTACAAAGAAGAAGAAACCATTCCACTGTAAGCCGTGTCACTTCCAGGCCCAGAACGAGCAAGAGTTTGTGGAGCACCTGGGTACGCACGGCGTCAGCAAGATGATCGTGGTGAACCGCGTGGAGGGGCGGAGTAAGACCAGGTCCAAGGAGGCAGAAACACCTGATGCTCAGGGGCCATCAAGCGGGGAGGCAGAGGGCAACGGGGAGGCGGGGACAACAGGTGACGTCAAAGGGCTGATCAGGTGTGAACGCTGCGGCTACAACACCAACAGATACGACCACTACATCGCTCACCTGAAGCACCACAGCAAAGAGGGCGAGGACCACAGGTAACCCCGTCACCATGACTACCAGTATCTATACATCCTGTCTCACCCTCATTTCAAAACTAACACGTTTCAACCGAACCTCTGCAGAGTGTTCAAGTGCACACTGTGTCCGTACACCACCGTCAGCCAGTACCACTGGAGGAAACACCTGAGGAACCATTTCCCCAGCAAACTGCACACCTGCAGCCAGTGCTCCTACTTCTCCGACCGCAAGAGCAACTACATCCAACACATCAGGACGCACACAGGTATGACTAACAGGAAGCTGACTCTAACATGAACCTGTAAAGTCTTGATCCAGGTGAGCGTGTGATGCAGGTGTGCTGTTCTGTGTTGTGCAGGTGTGCGTCCCTTCCAGTGTCTGTACTGTGACTATTCCAGCTCTCAGAAGACTCACCTAACCCGGCATATGAGGACTCACTCAGGTAAGCGGTTCATACCTTTGAGTTTGTGTTACACAGGGATGGGAATTGATAAGATTTTATCGATAACAATACCATTATCGATTCTGCTTATCGGTTCAGAACACATGTTAGGGTGACCATATTCTGAAGCCCCCCAAAAAAGGACACCACTACGCGGGGCGGACTTGTGTGCAAAATTTTGAGTTTTTTTTTTTTGGTTGGGTCGAGTGTTTTTCTCACGCTTTAACCTCAGTTAATCACATATTATTCCGGCGTGTGTCGCGACAGCGGCTCTTCTTAGAAGTGAGCGGAGGGGCAGAGCTGCAGAGAGAACTGATGCTCTGCACTGTTTTATAATGAATGGTTACGTGTTCCGGACATTTGAAGGATTATATAAACTCCCCCAGGACAAGAATATTCGGAGAACATCGAATACATGTGACTCCTTATATTTGATGGTGATTCACTTGAAAAAATGTTTAAGCATGTTGCTGGTGTTTCCACCTTTGCATGTTATCACTGCTTGACAAATCGTTTGAGATCCTTCTTCAGATCGTTTCTGCCTACTTTTCGTACCGTCCGCCATGTTTTTTTCCCTCTAAGTCTCTGTTCTCTGGCACTCGTGAGAATGTTTTTCAAGGTACCCGGAAAAAGAATCGTTAAGATGAAATGTAAACGATGTTGATGGATGGAACCATTTGGAAGCGGTTCTCGATTCCCATCCCTAGTGTTAAAGGTGATCTGGTGTGTGATTGGACAGACTCTCTGTGGTACATGGTTGTGGTTCCGTCTCTCACTGTAAACATGTTTGTGTTTGTGTCGCTCTCTCTGAAGCCCTCACTGTTGGACTAACACGGTAAAACAATTAGCATCCCGGCTACATGCCAAGTCTTTTTGTCCTCTGTTGTGTTAGTGTGTTATGTTTGTGTTTGTGTGTTGTTGTGTTTGTGTTCCTGTCTGTCTCATTCACATATTTGGATTTCTAAGATTATCAGCCAATCAAAAATGAATGCACTCTAAGTCAGAGAGGCTGTTTTTGAACATTGTGCAAAGGTCCTGAGACAGACTCACCTGCTGCATGAAACCCTCACCTGTCTCACCGGTGTACGGTCGCTTCATCCTCTGCTGCATTGTCACATCTCCTTTCTTTCTGTGTGCAGGTGAGCGTCCCTTCAAGTGTGAGAGCTGTAACTACCTGGCAGCCAATCAACACGAAGTGACCCGGCACGCCCGCCAGGTCCACAACGGCCCCAAACCGCTGTCCTGTCCGTACTGCGAGTACAAGACTGCAGACCGCAGCAACTTCAAGAAGCACGTGGAGCTCCACCTGAATCCTCGCCAGTTCCTCTGTCCGCTCTGCAAGTACGCTGCGTCCAAAAAGTGTAACCTGCAGTACCATATCAAGTCCAGACACTCGGGCTGCGACGTGTCAGTCGACATCTCAAAGGTCAAACTACGAGTCAAGAGACCAGGTCCCGACAGTCCAGAGGAAACCCCCAAATCAAACAAGGTAGACACTTCTTCAAGCGTGGAGGAGGACTTTGATGTGGACGAGGACGATGAGGATGAGGGAGCAGACTCCAGCCCCATCAATCTGTCCATCAAGAAGAGCAGTCAGCTCAACAACAACCAATCAGTGCAGAGCGGAGCTCCTGAGAAGGCAGCGAAGAAGGCGAACGTCACCGCTGACAGAGAAAAACTACAGAAGGTCAAAGAGAAAGTGGAACCAGAGAGAAAGGTCACAACACGGCAGAAGAAGACCGAGAACCCTCCAGAGAATTGCTCTGTGAAGCAAACCCAGACGGAGCCATTAGTGCCTGCTGACATCAAGGCAAAGAGACGGGTCAAGAAGGTTCCCTCAGAGAAGACAGCAGCCACGGACCAAGAAGAAGTGACCAAACCAGGAAAAGAGCAAACAAAGACGGTGAACCTTGACCGACAGAAACCAGAGGAGGACAGACCAGTGAGGAAGACCTCCAACAAAGAGGAGGAGAAGACTGAGAAGGAGCAAGAAAACCAGAAACGGGAGAGCAAAAGTCTCAACACCAAGCCCAGGAAGTCCACGTCAAAGAAGACCCACAAAACCCCAGAGCAGGTCAGGGAAGATCTGCAGAAACCAGACGGTCCTGAGAAAGTCCAGAAAGAGAAACCGGTCAAGGAGAAGCCTCCAAAGAGGAAAGCCGTGGAAGCTCTTGATCTGTCCAAGAAGTCCTCCACTGAGACCCCACCTAAGTCCAAACGTCTTAAAACCACAGCTGCAGAGAGGTCGCAGGTCAAACCAGCATCAGAGGAAACGATGAAGACCAGAGATGATACCCCTTCATCCCACAAGTCCAGAGAGACCAGCCTCACAAAGCAGAAGAAGACCAGGTCCAACAAGAGAGCTGCAGGTCTTCAGCAGGCTGTTGGACCCGCTAAAGGCAAGGAGACACCTGTCCACAGGTGCTCCACAGGTGCTCCACAAGAGTCCACTAAGGTGGACCACCAAACGGAAACCGCAACATCAGAGCGTGTACCAGCAGGAACCAAGACCCCTGAACCCCACTCCAGTGGAACTCCGAGTCTGGAGCCTCATCCTGCAGAAACAAAGACCTTGAAACCTTACCCCACAGAAACCAAGACCCCTAAGACTTGCCCCACAAAAACCAAGACTCCTGAACCCCACCCTGCTGGCACCAAGGTCCCTGGACCCTGTTCCACAGAAATCAAGCCCTCTGAATCCTACCTTGCAGTAACCCAGACCTCAAAACCCCACCCCACTGTAACCAAGAGCCCCAAACCCATCCCTGCAGAAACCAAGACCTGTGACCCCAGAGGAACCAGCTCTGTACAAGAGGACAAACCCCTTCCATCAGGTCCAGAGGAGATGCGGGACAAACCCTCAGAGGAGGTCCAGGTTTCCGCTGCCTGCAGCTCAGGTGAAGACACACCTTCTCCGGCTCAGGACCGACCCGCTCCAGTCTTCCTCAAACCCACATCACCACCCCCTCTGGTGCTTCCAGCCCAGCGCAGCAGACTTGCAGATCCAGAGGATGACGAAGGCATCCACAGCAGCCATGAAGGAGGAAGTGACATCAGCGACAGTGCCTCTGAGGGCAGCGATGACTCAGGCCTAAACAGTACCGGCGCCGGCTCGGGTAAGATGGCCAATGACCCCGAAACACCCACCGACGAGATCCCGACCCCCACAGAGCTGAAGAGTCACCTGTGCATCTTCTGTGACCGCACATTCCCTCTGGAGGTAGAATACCGCCGCCACCTGAACCGCCATCTGGTCAACGTGTACTACATGGACAACACCACCAAGGCGCAGAAATAAGGACCTGTATCCAAGTCCAGTTATACAAAGTCCTCCTGGGTCCTCCCAAAACCTCCTGGTCCACAAAAGTTTTCTCATGATCTTCTCACCTGTTGAGTCGTACCTGTATATTCTGTTTGGACTCTCGTAGACCTGATCCTAATCCTGTTTAGTGATGCGGTCTGACTCTTGAGCACTCCTGTAGGATGTTAGAGACGCCTGTGCTGACTGTTTTTGTAAATACGACTGTAGATCCGGTCAGAGTAGAATCAGAACCGTCTCTCTGTAGGTCAGGATCTTCTGAAGATTCCTCATCAGTGTTTTTAAAGTGCCTTTGACAATCAGCTGTGTCCACAGCCCCAGTGTGTCCTGTAATCATGACGGTTTGAGTCCAAAGAGCTGTTTAGTGTCTGTACAGTCTGAGTGTCTCACCTTTTAACAAACTGACTTATTTCATTAGATCCTCATCACTCTGTGTCTGTCTTCATGAAATCAGAACCACAGCGGTCCTGTTTAAAGAATCATTAAAGGGATATTCCGGCGTAAAATTAATGTAGGGTCAAACCCACTGTAACACCGAGTTAGACCCCCCCTCCAGAGATGAATGTTGTCGACCGCTTGCTTCTCTAGTTATACCAACTTTAGTAACGACCGCAGAATAGAAATACAGAGAGCCACGCCCCCAACCAAAACGCCACTCTATAGCCACAAATAATGCTCAGAACAGCAACTAACTTCATCAACAGGACATATAGGGTCACAGACATAGTACTAGACACCAAACATCTTTTTAACTCTGACTCATTTCTTTAGCAAAGAGACTAAACACAACTCACCTACTCTCTTCCAGCAGACGCTTGTTTGTGGCGGAGCCCTGACCAGTTGATCATCGAGTGCAGCGTGGTTTCGCAGCTCAAGGAAGAACATTTATGATCATTTTTTTATCATTTACTTGAAGTAATAATCACCATATTAATCATTTTACAGACGCGGTAGTTCTTCTGTAATAGCGTCTCGGTCTGATTGTATTTCCATGAAGAAACGATCATAAATGTTCTTCCTTGAGCTGCGGCACCCCGCTGTAGTCTGTAATGGACTGACCTGAGGTCTCACTACAAACAAGCGTCTGCTGGAAGAGAGTAGGTGAGTTGTGTTTAGTCTCTTTGTTAAAGAAATGAGTCAAAGTTACAAAGATGTTTGGTGTCTAGTACTATGTCTGTGACCCTATATGTCCTGTTGATGAAGTTAGGTGCTGTTCTGAGCATTATTTGTGGCTATAGAGTGGCGTTTTGGTTGAGGGCGTGGCTCTCTGTATTTCTATCCTGCAGTCGTTACTAAAGTTGGTATAACTAGAGAAGCAAGCGGTCAACAACATTCATCTCTGGAGGGGGGGTCTGACTCGGTGTTACGGTGGGTTTGACTCTAAATTAGTTTTATGTCGGAATATCCCTTTAAATGTGTTTCCATTAAATCTTTTGTGCAATAATCTGTTGGAGGAGAAACCAAAGTGAGCGAGCTGCTGAAGCTCTGCAGATGTAGAGACGTCTGTCTCTGTGTGTCTGAGTTAGATTAGAGATTTTAATCAGAGACAGACTCTACTGTGTTTATGTACTCCTGTAAGTAACTCTGTGTACTCTCTGTACTCTAGTACTGTGTCCTTGTCATGTATTCATGTGTATCTTTGAATTACTGCAGTGCCATTAACTCGTCCATGTTTGTGGGATAAACTGATGATTCTTTATTTCTGTCCAATCTGACTGTCCTCTCTTTAATCAAACTTCCTTTTTTAACCTGCTCCTCCAGATGTTCACTTTTCTGATATTTAGAAATAAACTTCTGATCCTGAGAGGACAGCTGAGGTTTCTTCATCCTCAGACACAGAGGACATTATCAGCATGTTGTGGAAATATCAGACTTGATGTTCTAACCTCAGTGAACTGTCCTTCAAAGTGGATCCAGTAGAGATCTGTCTGTCAGCAGGATCAGCGTCACTAACAGAGTTACCTTTCACCTGTACTTCACTTTATTTTGCTCTTTTTTAAATAAAAACTCTGAAATGATCCGTCCGTGTGTGACTTTTATTTTGAAACAGGCGCCACCTCAGTTAGACAAGAGTTCACAAGAGTGGAGAGGAGGATCCAAAGTCCAGGATCTCCTAAAAAAAGGTTCCAGGTCAAAAAAAGTGACCTTACTCTGTCTGCAGGAACGAAACCGTGACCGAGAGAGATTCCTCAGCCGTCACCGTGGAATTAAGCTCCTCCCACTAATGTCTCAGCACATCACTACTCCTTCTTCCTCTTCTTTTTCTTCTGCTTCTTCTCCGTTCCTCGTGCGGCCAGCGTAGCGTCGATCAGTCCTGCCGGTTTGACGGTTTTATAGGCGGCAGATTTTTTGATTCGCTCTCCTTTCAGACTGATGACGTGAGGGAGCAGCGGCGGCGTTCTTACACCGAAACCTGCCGCCTCTGGACCGTGGACCCTCAAGGACACCTGCTCACCTTCTGCTGCCGTCACTGCCACCCAACCTGTGCACGCACACACACACACACAGGGAAAACAGGTAACTCAAACGTTACAGGAGTCAGCTGACCTCGATGACCTTTATCCCTGTGGTTAAAAACAGTTATCGATTATGGTCAGGTGTGTACCTGCAGACGACAGTGTGATGTCAGCGCTCGCCTCCATGTAGCCCCGCCCCTCCAGTTTGACCTCCTGAGGAACCAATGCAGGAAATGTCTTCATTCGCTCCGACCCTCCCTGAGGCACCTGAACGCAGCAGAGACATCAGTGTTTTTATTCGAATCTTCAAACAGCTGACTGAGGTCATGTGACCACCTCCCGCCCCTTCCTCCTCCCCCCTCTTCCTCCTCACCCCCAGCAGGACTCCTCCCGCGTGCTTCTCATAGATTCCTTCCACCTTCTCCAGACTGGTGATGTGGACCGGGACCCGAGCAGACACCAGCACTGAGAACCAGCAGGACCGCTCCCCCTGAGAGAGACCAGAACATCAACAACCGACCAATGACGAGAGCCGGCACAAATACTTGATTCTGATTGGTCAAACCCCACGAAGGCAAATATTAATGCTGGAAGTAAAATCAGAAACAACCTGAACGTCACAGAGACGTGTTTGTGTTCACTGGTGTGTGTATCTTTTGTGCCTCGTGTGTGATTGTGTCCTAAAGTTGTTGTGGTTGTCAATGTTGTCGTAGTTGTTGTGCTTGTTGTCCTTGTTGTTGTAGTTATGCTTGTTGTTGTTTATCTTGTGCTTGTTTTGTGCACTTGTTGTGGTTGTTGTTACAGTTGCTGTGGTTGTTGTCTTGTGTAGTTGTAGTTTTGGTTGTTGTCTCATGTAGTTGTTGTTGTGGTTGTTGTAATTGTTGTCTTGTGTTGCTGTGGTTGTTTTGTGTTGTTGTTGTCTTGTGTAGTTGTTGTGGTTGTTGTTTTGGTTGTTGTTTTGTTATGGTTGTTGTCTTGTGTAGTTGTTGTTGTGGTTGTTGTGTTTTTTTTGCGTGTTGTTGTTTTGTTATGGTTGTTGTTGTTGTCTTGTGTAGTTGTTGTTGTTTTGGTTGTTCGTAATTTTGTCTTGTGTAATTGTTGTTGTTATAGTTTTTGTTGTCTTGTGTAGTTGTTGTGGTTTTTGTTGTCTTGTGTAGTTGTTGTGGTTTTTGTTGTCTCATGTAGTTGTTGTAATTGTTGTCTTGTGTTGTTGTTGATATTGTTGTCTTGTGTAGTTGTTGTGGTTGTTGTTTTGGTTGTTGTTATTTTGTTATGGTTGTTGTGGTTGTTTTGTGTTGTTGTTGTTGTCTTGTGTAGTTGTTGTGGTTGTTGTTTCGGTTGTTGTTTTGTTATGGTTGTGGTTGTTGTCTTGTGTAGTTGTTGTTGTGGTTGTTGTGTTTTTTTTGCGTGTTGTTGTTGTTTTGTTATGGTTGTTGTTGTTTTGGTTGTTCCTAATTTTGTCTTGTGTAGTTGTTGTTTTGGTTGTTCATATTGTTGTCTTGTGTAATTGTTGTTGTTATAGTTTTTGTTGTCTTGTGTAGTTGTTGTAATTGTTGTTTTGGTTGTTGTTATTTTCTTATGGTTGTTGTGGTTGTTTTGTGTTGTTGTTGTTGTTGTTGTTGTTACCTGCAGGAAGTCGATCCGGGCCAGCGCTCCCACTAACAGACTCATTCCAGGCTTTAACACAAACGTCCTCGGAACCAACGCCTTAGTCGGAACCACTGACATCACTTCCTGTTCAGTCAACACCGACAAGACCTGAGAGAGAGAGAGAGAGAGAGAGAGAGAGAGGGGGGCGTTGTTGGTGTTGTTGTTTATTTTTGTTTGTTTTTGTCGGTAAGTCTCTCGCTCTCTTACGTCTCTCTCCTTCATGATTCCCGGCGTGTCGAACAGCCAGTGAGCGTCTTTCAGCTCATTAAAGGTGAACTCGTCAGGTGAGCTCCTTGTACCTAAGGGGTCAAAGGTCAGAGCGTTTACTCCAGTTTACTGTTCTTGTTCTGTGTTCAAACTTCAGTTCTTTATTAAGATGCTGAAACGGACAAACAACGTGATGTGTGACGGACATTGTAAACAAACGTGAGTGTTAGCTAGTTAGCTTGGAAAAGGGAATGTCGTCTCAACAGAAATAAATCTCCAGGATGTTGTGTGAAGTCCTGCTGTCATCACTATGGTTCCTGTTTGTTATCTTCTGGGTCGAGACAATAAGCGTTTGGCTGTTTCTGTCCATGTTTTATCAGGACAGAGCGTTTTACCACTGGGGAGATGGGGTGTTCCTGGGCAGATGATCCTGGGCAGATGATATACATGTTGAGCAGAGTTGATACACAGATGCAGACAGATGTGCAGACCTGAGACTGGAAAAGATCAAGAGCTGGACTGAAAGGACTCCCAGTAGAGGACGACTGCAGTCATGTGATTGAAGAACATGAACATGAACAGCTGTTTCACCTTTGCACTGACTGCCTTGCACACTGTTGTGCTAAGTCCTTATTAACATATGACATAGTAGACCCACTTTTAATAATAGGCAGTAGACGGTTGCAGCATTTCGAGGACACAACTAAGAGGTCAGAGGAAATCCTCAATAATGACGTGTTTAAGAGCCACCACTGTAACATTCACATTTTCACTTTAAGATACAAGGGAAGCTGACAGAAGCGGCAGAAGAGGCTTACTGAAAAAATAAAAGATGTATTTGTCCTAAAGCTCCATGTCAGATCTTCCCTGACAGTGTTTTGATCATATTGGCATTCAGTGAGACTACAGCTGTTTCTGCCTGCAGCTGTTTTATGTGTCATAGATATCAGATTGCACTAAATCTGTTATGACTCAGGCATATGAATGTTTCTAACATTCAGAACATTCTCTTGGTGTATGTTTGATACAGCAACCTTCAGCAGTCAGCTAATTTTGAATATTGGAAGTAGGTCATCATTTGATCTCCGCTTTTATAATTGTCACACTAACCTGACACAGAAATGTTGACCATATGCACAGCACTAATTCAGCTGCGGGATCTATTTCAATACTTCTAGGTAAATTTTCTTTTAATAGATTTTATGCGCATCTTTCTTTCTTTTATGGGCTGATAGACTTTGTTGCTATGTGACTAAAAATTCACACTGAGGTTGTGCGATAACTGACACGCCTCAGTGACAACCGCAAAAGCGCCATCTACTGATAAAGATCAGGAAATAAGACAAGTAGGTTTGGAAATGGCCGTGGTGGTGGAAAAGAGAAATGAGGTTTATGTAAAATGTATATGCAGTAAGTTGAACGGAAGTGATGCTATACTGTAAAATAGATTTTTTACATCTATATCAATTAAAGGATTGGCATTTAAAGAAAACCAAAAAAAAAAAAAAGATGCTGAAACGACATGTGGGAGGAAAACGGCTCTGTGGTCGGATGGATCACAATTTCACTTTCTTGTTAGAAATCATGAAAAACGTTTTTTTTATTCTGGTGCTGAACAACATCTCCAGGTTTAGGAGCATCAGGACTCTGTAGTTGGAGTCGCCGCATGGGCTCAATATCACTCAACTGTCCTGAGGTCTGAGGAGTCAAATCTAACACTCTTTTGGAAAGGACAACTGGACTTATTTGAGACGTTTCGCCTCAAATAAGTCCAGTTGTCCTTTCAACGAAGAACTATAAATCATAGATGCTGCATCCTCAGTTTCAAACAAGATCTCCAGGTTTAGGAGCGACATCTGCGTCCATCCAGACAAAGACTTTTTCAGAGAAGACCTTCAGATGATCCCACCACCATTAATCAGGTTGGAGATCACGAGGCAGTTTCAGCCACATTCAGAATCCCATTGAAGAAAAGCTCAAATTAAGAACCAATCAGACGTCTCCGCTCACCTGTCTCCTTCATCTCTCCGTCTTCATCCTCTCCATGAGCCAAACTGTCAGGATCAAACTGGATCTCATCCTCTCTGGGCCGGACATCAGACCGGAACGTTCTGCCAACCCGACCTGAACAGGCGAACAGAGACAGGTGAGGATCATGTCTCTCTCTCTCTCTCTCCTCCCCCCTCTCTCTCCTCCCTCCCGTCTTACCCACGAGGTATCCCTGCTTGCTGAAGTGTTTGAGCCTCTTCAGCTCGTCCTCCGTCAGCTCGCTCTCTGTCTGCTGCGACGCCTCGTTCAGGCGCTCCTGCCGTTTGAACATCCTGTATGGCGTTGGGTTGATGATGGGGAACTTCAGGAGGTTCAGAGTGGTCCCTGAACACACCACAGCGGGGGGGGGACAGTCACATGATCAAACATTAGTCGATTATTTGTTACTTACTGGTTTCACTTTATGTGCATTAAATCTTATATGTCATGTTAGCAGTAGGTTAAGGCTTTTATTTTGAAGGCGGGTTATCGATCTGAAGCTTTCAAATTAAAACCTGTCATCAACATTTAAATGATTAAAACCTCGCCGAACTCAGAGGGCGACCCCGTAGACTCAGTGATATTTCCCATCATGCACTGGGAGCCCTGTGTTTGTGACAGTAAACAGACAGACATTAAATCAACAGTTCTGTGAACAGGGTTTGGTGCTGACCGGGCCATGGTGAGATGGTGGCCTTGTGGATCAGGTCTGAAGCTTTGGACTTGCAGTAGTCAGACTCCAGCAGCGTGTTGAAGAGCGTCGACTTGCCGGCGTTGGCCCCGCCCACCAGATAGACGTCCCCTTTGTATTTCCAGGAGCGCTGCAGGCTGGAGATCAGGTGCTCCACGCCGTAGCCCGTCTTGGCGCTGATCAGGTGAATGTCGGTCACCTGAGGGCCGAAGCCGGCGTCCTCACAGTAGCGAGAAAGTTGCTGCCTGATTCGCTTCAGGTAGTTTGGCGAGTCTCCGGGCAGCAGGTCCACCTTGTTGCCGAGGACGACGATGTGTTTGTTCGTCCCAACGAGTTTGGGCAAGTCCGGGATGATAGAGTCAGGGACATCCAGCAGGTCGACGATGAGCAGGATGAGAGCTCTGAGGGGGCGGAGCCTCTGCACCACCTCTCTGTACTGGTCTGCAGAGACCTCCAGGTTCAGCGCTTTGTAATGATGCGTCAGCAGGAAGCAGCGCTGACAGGTCGCCGCGCTCAGACGCTTCTCCTGCTGCAGCACCTTGAACTTCTCGCTGGGCAGGTACCCGGGTACGGCGGGGGCGGTGCAGTGCAGGATGGCGCCGCAGCCTGAACAGCAGGTGTCACTGAACGGCTCGTCAACGTCCGGGGTCCCAAACACTTTGTGCTCACCTGGCCCCGCCCTCTTCTTCTTCTTCTTGGTCTTAATAGCTGCAATAACGCTCTCATCCAGCGGGAAGTCCACATCATGGAACTGGATCAGAGAGTCAGGCTCCGCCTCCTGTCGGGTCACGCCTCTTAACGCCTCCAGCTGTCGCTCCAGGGACCTCAGATTTACCTGAGGAGGAGCAGAGGGAGGAGGAGCAGGAAGAGAGGAGGAGGGGAGGGAGGTCTCCTCCTGATCTGAGCGAGGCAAGAAAAGAAGAAGAAGAAGAAGGAGAAGAAGAAAGAGAAGGAGAAGAAGAAGAAGAAGAAGAAGAAGAAGGAGAAGAAGAAGAAGGTGTAAATATGATCAGATGTTTGCACACAGGGTTAATTTTGACCTGATCTAATTCTACTTAAACTCTCTCTCTCATTTATCGGTTGATTTCCTTCATTTTTCTGTTCTTTTCTTTATTTTTGTTGTTGTGATTTTGAACTTCTGTTTTATTCGTCTGTTTATTTGCAGGTTTTTGTTCGTTCTCAAATCTCCTGTGGAGTTTTTTACATTTATATAATCGACTAAAATTCATGTTGAAATCTTTTTATAATAAATACAGCTATTAAAACCATCAGTGACACGACAAACTATTAATAAACTTATTAGTAATTTTTCATGTCAGTAACTGTGAGAGAGTCGGCGTCAGCTGAGGAGGAGGAACAGCTCCGACTTTACAATCTGATCAGGATCTGAGTTAGTCCCAGTTTTTAGGAGAAATCTTGAATGTAAACTCTACCCCTCCAACCAGTTTTCCCCTCAGCTCCTCCTCTCCCCTCAAGCCCCGCCCACAAACAGACGCTCCTGCTCGCTCGGATCGTTCCAATTAAATTCAGATATAATGCAGATAAATACTTCAGATCATTACAAATGGGGCCCAACCTGCCTCCTGTCTTTGTCCTCTACAGAAAACCTGATCCAGCTGCAGGACTCACATCTGGGACATGTAAGACCACATGGATCCATGACCCAGACGGAGCGGTAACATGACATCCAGCAGAAACAGACACAATAAAGACAAACAGACGAGGTGATTTCAGTGACTCAGTTTGAGGATTTTTATGATTTTTTTACCCACAATCAGAGACTTGACCACAATCTGAGCTGAGTCAGAAACATCCAAACAGTCGGACTAATAAATGTGATTATTATTATTAGAGTGATTGAAAAGCTCATAACAACATGTAGATCTGTCCAAAGTCTGATTCTAGATGTCTTTACAAACACACTGATCCAACAGAAGCAGACAGAAATATCCATCGATCACATGAACACAAATATTCAGCAAACAGAGAAAGAAACAGATCATCTGAAGAGTTTTTGGGGACGACTGGAAAGACTTTAGACGCTTGGATTTGGGACAGGAAATAAGGTCGTCCTTTTTCTGTGATTTTGACCTCACTTTTTTCTAAAGTCTCAGACCTTCAACATCTGCACCAACTGAAGGTGATTTGAACAAACCATCATCTTGATGTTGTTGATATCAAACTGTATGAAGATTTTTCAACATGAGAAATACAAACAATCAAAGTTCTCCACAATCACTGTCCTTAAAGCTGCGACCAAATCAGCATCTTTAGAAAAGAATCAAAAAGCTGAAATGAAGAACTAAACCCAGAGTTTTTGGTGAGACTGATCCACAAACATTTACAAACCAGAACATTTCAAGAGTTCAAGGATCTCAGTCCATGATTTTGGTCTGATGGACTCAAAATTCTCTTTAGTTCACTTCTATAAACTCAGCAGAGGCTCCATCAGACCATAACGTCAGTCCAGCATGTAGAGGTTCAGTGAATGTGGTCTGGACTCTGTGGAGGAGAGTCATGGTTTCAGAGACGCTGTAGAAGGACAGAATACCTGCGCTGTGATCCAGGTACACTCCTACTCTGGAGGACGGAGGACCTGAGACATCAGTGAAGACTTTGTTGTGCACAAGTTGATAACTGTCTTTATAACATTCTAACATCCAAGATTTGTCATTTTCTCCAAATACACAATCCTCTGGTTTCCCGTCTCTCCTGATAGTCTTGTATGCGACTGCTACATAAACCCAGCCCCCTCTCCAGTCCACCTCCCAGTAACAACGTCCAGTCAGACTCTCTCTACTCAGGACCTGAGGATAATAAGTGAATCTGTCTGGATGATCAGGATAAGACTGTGGTTCTTTTGTCCATGTTGCTCTTCTGTTTCCATCAGATAATAACAGTCCTCTGTTTACTGTGTTTGGATCCAGTGTGATTCTTTGTGAATATCTTAAGAAACCAGCTCTGGTCTTGGGTTCTGGTTCTGGTTCTGGTGGTTCTAACAGTAAAACATCCACTTCAGTCACGGCCTGTGAGACGTTTGTCCACGTCTCTGTCAGAAGATCCTGGAGTTTCTCTCTGACCTCTGACACAGCTGCTGTCACCTCCTCAAAGTATCTCAGAGGACGGATGTTGATCCTGGATGAGTCTGCAGGTTGACCCGGTTCTGACAGTGAGGGGTAGCTGTGCAGAAACTGGTTGTGGTCCTCTGTGAGTGAGAGCTTCTGCAGATCAGCGTCTTTCCTCTTCAGCTCAGTGATCTCCTGCTCCAGTTTCTCCTGAAGCTCTTTGACTCGACTCACTTCACGTTCCTGCTGGGATCTGACCTGCTGCTCCACCTCAGAGCGGCGTTTCTCCATCAGACGGATCAGCTGTCTGAAGATCTTCTGGCTGTGCTCCACAGCTTTATCAGCAGAGCCGTTGATAGCCTCCACCTCCTGTTGGAGCAGCTTCACATCTTCTTCTCTGTCCTGGATTCTCTGCTGGATGTTTCCTCGACTCTCCTCCAGATCTTTCTGCCTCTCAGTCCTTTCTGCTGCAGCTGAGACTGTGTCGTGACCTTTGTGTTGGTCCAAACAGCAGAGATGACAGATGGACTTCTGATCAGTGCGGCAGAAGATCTTCATCACCTCATCATGACGAGAGCAGATGTTCTCCTGGAGCTTCTTGGAGGGCTCCACCAGCTTGTGTTTCTTAAATGTAGGAGATTCAAAATGAGGCTGGAGGTGAATCTGACAGTAAGAAGCCAGACATTGAAGACAGGACTTGACAGCTTTCAGTTTTCTCCCACTGCAGACGTCACAGGCCACATCTTCAGGTCCAGCCTCAGAGGAACCATCAGGAGCAGCTTGGAGTCCGCTCTTCTTCAGTTCCTCCACTAAACCTGCTAACATGGTGTTTTTCTTCAGGACAGGCCTCGTAGTGAAGGTCTCTCTGCACTGAGGACAGCTGTAGATCATCCTCTCAACCTCAGTATCCCAGTAGGATTGAATACAGCTCATGCAGAAGCTGTGTCCACAGGAAACAGTCACCGGATCCTTCAGAAGATCCAAACAGATGGAACAAGAGAAAGACTCACGGTCCAGATGAACTCCTTTCTGCGCCATTTCAACACTCGCTGTCGACGACGACTGACTGAGTTTTATTTCCTGAGAAGTCAAACTAGTCTGAGCTCTGATCTCAACAACAGGTGTGAGTCAGCAGGATCAGCTCAGCACACGGAGGTTACACCCAACCAAGACTGTAGATCTGAGGGGGAGGGAGCAAGGAAGGGAAGGAAACAAGGAAGTGAGAGTGCAGAGTGGAGTGAGCTGAGAGAGACGAGGGGAGGGGGGGGGAACCAGTTTGTCTACAATCCAGGAGGAGGAGCGTCTCTGTGAACTTTAGACTCTCAAACTCAAACAAGCAGAAGTTCTTAAAGCTGCAGCCGTCCTGAAGATCAACTGAACCAACATTTATTCACCTCATAGAAACCTCATCGAGCAGAAACACACTTCAACTGTTTTAGAGACACAGAGTTAGAGAGACAACACAGAGAAACACTCTCTCTCTCTCTCTCTCTCTCTCTCTCTCTCTCTCTCTCTCTCTCTCTCTGCTCCAGCAAGCCCCGCCACAAACAGACGCTCCTGCTCGCTCGTATCGTTCCAGTTAAATTCAGATATAATGCAGATAAATACTTCAGATCATTACAAATGGGGCCCAGTCAAGGTGAAAGTCAAAAGCATTGGTGCTACTGTAGATGCCAACAGACTACCAGCAAACACAATGTTTGCAGGACTTCTACAACTAGGATAAAGTGACATAGTCCAGGACCCGAGGGAGGACAGTTTAGTGATGGCGCTACAACACGCTACAGCAGGTCCGTTTGACAAGAAACACTTCTGTTACAGACACTTGTCTTACTTTGTTAAAGCGGTTTACCTGTCCAGCAGAAAGGTTACAGGGTCACCAAGATCCCCAAGCGTCCCCCATCGTTTATGTTGACCCGGCTTTTTAGCTCTTGTCCGCTCTACCTCCGTTTTAAGCGCCCGTTATTCCTCCAGAGTCTCCGGTATTTACTTTGTTTTCTTGCTTGTGTCGGCAGTCGTGGCCAAAGGAGGATTCAGACAATTTTCCGAACTTTCTGGTTGGTTTCTACTGTCCGATATTGTAGCACGCTAACTTTGTTTGGGCTCCTGAACGACACGGGGGAGCAGCATTTTCTTGTTGACTGTTTTCTTGTTGCCTGTTTTTTGTTGACTGTTTTGGTGTTGACTGTTTTCCTGTTGACCGGTTTGGTGTTGACTGTTTTCTTGTTGACTGTTTTCTTGTTGACTGTTTTTTGTTGACTGTTTATGGTTGACGTTTTCTTGCTGACTGTTTTCTTGTTGACTGTTTATGGTTGACTGTTTTTTGTTGACTGTTTATGGTTGACGTTTTCTTGCTGACTGTTTTCTTGTTGACTGTTTATGGTTGACTGTTTTTTGATGACTGTTTTCTTGTTGACTGATTATAGTTGACGTTTTCTTGCTGACTGTTTTCTTGTTGACTGTTATCTTGCTGACTGTTTATGGTTGACTGTTTTCTTGTTGACTGTTTTTTGTTGACTGTTTATGGTTGACGTTTTCTTGCTGACTGTTTTCTTGTTGACTGTTTATGGTTGACTGTTTTCTTGTTGACCGGTTTGGTGTTGACTGTTTTCTTGTTGACTGTTTTCTTGTTGACTGTTTTTTGTTGACTGTTTATGGTTGACGTTTTCTTGCTGACTGTTTTCTTGTTGACTGTTTATGGTTGACTGTTTTTTGCTGACTGTTTATGGTTGACGTTTTCTTGCTGACTGTTTTCTTGTTGACTGTTTATGGTTGACTGTTTTTTGATGACTGTTTTCTTGTTGACTGATTATAGTTGACGTTTTCTTGCTGACTGTTTTCTTGTTGACTGTTATCTTGCTGACTGTTTATGGTTGACTGTTTTCTTGTTGACTGTTTTTTGTTGACTGTTTATGGTTGACGTTTTCTTGCTGACTGTTTTCTTGTTGACTGTTTATGGTTGACTGTTTTCTTGTTGACTGATTATGGTTAACTGTTTTCTTGCTGACTGTTTTATGTTGACTGTTTTGGTGTTGACCATTTTCTTGTTAACCGGTTTTGTGTTGACTGTTTTCTTGTTGACTGTTTTCTTGCTGACTGTTTATGTTTGAGTGTTTTCTTGCTTGTGTCGACAGTTGTGGCCAAAGGAGGATTCAGACAATTTTCCGAACTTTCTGGTTGGTTTCTACTGTCCGATATTGTAGCACGCTAACTTTGTTTGGGCTCCTGAACGACACGGGGGAGCAGCATTTTCTTGTTGACTGTTTTCTTGTTGCCTGTTTTTTGTTGACTGTTTTGGTGTTGACCGTTTTCCTGTTGACCGGTTTGGTGTTGACTGTTTTCTTGTTGACTGTTTATGGTTGACTGTTTTTTGCTGACTGTTTATGGTTGACGTTTTCTTGCTGACTGTTTTCTTGTTGACTGTTTATGGTTGACTGTTTTTTGCTGACTGTTTTCTTGTTGACTGATTATAGTTGACGTTTTCTTGCTGACTGTTTTCTTGTTGACTGTTATCTTGCTGACTGTTTATGGTTGACTGTTTTCTTGTTGACTGTTTTTTGTTGACTGTTTATGGTTGACGTTTTCTTGCTGACTGTTTTCTTGTTGACTGTTTATGGTTGACTGTTTTCTTGTTGACTGTTTTCTTGTTGACTGATTATGGTTAACTGTTTTCTTGCTGACTGTTTTATGTTGACTGTTTTGGTGTTGACCATTTTCTTGTTAACCGGTTTGGTGTTGACTGTTTTCTTGCTGACTGTTTATGTTTGAGTGTTTTCTTGCTTGTGTCGGCAGTCGTGGCCAAAGGAGGATTCAGACAATTTTCCGAAATTTCTGGTTGGTTTCTACTGTCCGATATTGTAGCACGCTAACTTTGTTTGGGCTCCTGAACGACACGGGGGAGCAGCATTTTCTTGTTGACTGTTTTCTTGTTGCCTGTTTTTTGTTGACTGTTTTGGTGTTGACCGTTTTCCTGTTGACTGTTTTCTTGTTGACTGTTTTCTTGTTGACTGTTTTTTGTTGACTGTTTATGGTTGACGTTTTCTTGCTGACTGTTTTCTTGTTGACTGTTTATGGTTGACTGTTTTTTGTTGACTGTTTATGGTTGACGTTTTCTTGCTGACTGTTTTCTTGTTGACTGTTTATGGTTGACTGTTTTTTGCTGACTGTTTTCTTGTTGACTGATTATAGTTGACGTTTTCTTGCTGACTGTTTTCTTGTTGACTGTTATCTTGCTGACTGTTTATGGTTGACTGTTATCTTGTTGACTGTTTTTTGTTGACTGTTTATGGTTGACGTTTTCTTGCTGACTGTTTTCTTGTTGACTGTTTATGGTTGACTGTTTTCTTGTTGACTGTTTTCTTGTTGACTGATTATGGTTAACTGTTTTCTTGCTGACTGTTTTATGTTGACTGTTTTGGTGTTGACCATTTTCTTGTTAACCGGTTTGGTGTTGACTGTTTTCTTGCTGACTGTTTATGTTTGAGTGTTTTCTTGCTTGTGTCGGCAGTCGTGGCCAAAGGAGGATTCAGACAATTTTCCGAAATTTCTGGTTGGTTTCTACTGTCCGATATTGTAGCACGCTAACTTTGTTTGGGCTCCTGAACGACACGGGGGAGCAGCATTTTCTTGTTGACTGTTTTCTTGTTGCCTGTTTTTTGTTGACTGTTTTGGTGTTGACCGTTTTCCTGTTGACCGGTTTGGTGTTGACTGTTTTCTTGTTGACTGTTTTCTTGTTGACTGTTTTTTGTTGACTGTTTATGGTTGACGTTTTCTTGCTGACTGTTTTCTTGTTGACTGTTTATGGTTGACTGTTTTTTGCTGACTGTTTTCTTGTTGACTGATTATAGTTGACGTTTTCTTGCTGACTGTTTTCTTGTTGACTGTTATCTTGCTGACTGTTTATGGTTGACTGTTATCTTGTTGACTGTTTTTTGTTGACTGTTTATGGTTGACGTTTTCTTGCTGACTGCTTTCTTGTTGACTGTTTTCTTGCTGACTGTTTTATGTTGACTGTTTATGGTTAACTGTTTTCTTGCTGACTGTTTTATGTTGACTGTTTTGGTGTTGACCATTTTCTTGTTAACCGGTTTGGTGTTGACTGTTTTCTTGCTGACTGTTTTCTTGTTGACTGTTTTCTTGCTGACTGTTTATGTTTGAGTGTTTTCTTGCTTGTGTCGGCAGTCGTGGCCAAAGGAGGATTCAGACAATTTTCCGAACTTTCTGGTTGGTTTCTACTGTCCGATATTGTAGCACGCTAACTTTGTTTGGGCTCCTGAACGACACGGGGGAGCAGCGTCTGCCTCACAACCAATCAGGTTAGAGGAGGTGGAGAACGGCTTTGTTTACAGTCAGAAAGAGCGGACCGCTCAAAAATGTTCAAATGTTGACGACACAGACATAAGAGAACACAGAGATATCGATATATTACCAAATATAATCAATAACTAATAACTATTGACTGATATTAGATTTTTGTATAAAAACCACAAAATAAAAAGATGCTTCTTTAACAGATTCCTTTTTTCTCCACCTTTAATGACTATTTAATCATGTAGAAGAAAAGAAACGTAGAGACAGTTTTGACCACAGGGGGGCGCCAAAATGGACCGTTATAGAAAGTTCCCCACAGGAGCTTTAAAGTGTCTTTATTATTGTGTCTGTCTGAGTTTTCTTTGACTGTTTTTGTCTCTTTAATGTGTTTGAAAAATTCATAAATAGATTTTAAAATAAGTAAAGTGTGAGTCTCTGTTGATGTGAATGTTCTCCTTTAATTATTGATTACTGATTGATTTTAAAAAGTGAATAAACTCTGATCACTTTAAAAGAAACACGTCTTCAGTCTCACCTGTCCAGTCCACGAACACGAACTCCTCCTCCAGGTTCGGGTCCACGGTGCAGCTCCGCTCCGTCCTCCCGGTTCTGCGGCTCAGCTGCCGGGTCAGAGCCGGTACCGAGCCCACAGCGGGGGCCCGTCGGGTCAGGAGGTCGGACCCCCTCAACACCACCCTGCGGACCCCCACCTGAAACACACTCAGCATGTTCGAGTCCACGAGCTCACCTTCAGACCCAAAACACACGAGACTCCACCGCCGCCGCGTTTGACTTCCTGACCGGATGTGACGCCAAGACCTCACCAGGTTACGTTCCGTTTACGTGAAAATATTTTATTATTTATTTTCTAAATTCAATTTAATATCAGAGCATCGATACAGGCTTAATTATCTTCACATTAAACACATTGATTATTATTAATGTTTTTAAATGACGAACCATCCGGTTCCTGAGGGGGGCGGTGTAGGTCAGAGGTGATGTAGCTCAGAGGTCTCACTCTGATGATTATTTTACAAACTTTTACATATCTTTGTCTTCTGCCGTACTCTCCTGTCTATCTGAATTTATTCGGTTTATATTAATTGAGTTTTACGGTTACTAAAGTTTGGGGTTATTTCAGCGCTGTTTTAAAGGTCTGTGTTAAACGTCTTTTGTCCTGTGAGGAGTGATACCTCTGTCTATGAGAAGATCTTTGTCAGCAGGAGAACTTTCTCTCTCCCTCTCTCTCTTTCTCTCTCTGTTCAGTTGTTGGTTTCACTCTCTCTCTCTGTCTGTGTGTCTCGTCATGATGATGATGATGAAGTTCAGGATCTCCGCGCTGAGAGCAGCTGCAGCTAAACTCTCACCTGTTACACCTGCTGCACAGGTGAGTTCAGCTCCACTTTCCTCAGTTTAAACGAACAAAAACACACCGAACCAACTCAACCTTTACGAACCAGACCCAGGATTATAACCGAGTCTAACCTCTGCAGCAGAACCGAACCTCCAACTCACACCTGAGCAGCACCTGTGATCCTAAGAGTGTGAGTTTACCGTGTTTTAGTGAAGTTAGTCCGCTCTGTGTGAAGTGGGTTTGATAGTGTAGTTGTGTGTGTGTTTTTGTGTAGTTTGTGTGTATTTAATCTGGTTAGTGTTAGTTGATCTTTGGACCGAGCAGAGAAAAGGTCAGGATGTGAAGTTTAAAATTAACCTACACTCTCTCTCTCTCTCTCTCTCTCTCTCTCTCTCTCTCTCTCTCTCTCTCTCTCTCTCTCTCTCTCTCTCTCTCTCTCTCTCTCTCTCTCTCTCCCTCTGTGTGTGTGGTAATAACTGAGCATGTGTTTAAACTCTCATACTAAACCATCACTGACCTTTCAAACAGCTGACCTTGTCCACAGAGGACACCTGAGGCTCCTCTCTACACTCTGATCGTCTGTGTTCATTCTCTCTGAAAACACAATCACATGTCTGCAGTCACGTATTCATCCCCTTTAATAATTAACGTCAACACTAGAGGGCAGCACAGACCTGAGAATCCTCCACAGAGACAAACCCAAACAGTCTGCTCCTGAAAATCATTTATTGATTTCACAGATCAATATTCCATCAATACTTTACATACACTACAGGTCAAAAGTTTGGAAGCGCGGCCGTTACAGGCCGATCAGTTGGGAGTAACTTCAAGTTTTTGTTTAAATCAAGTCTTTTTTTAACTCCAGCATGAGTTTGATGTATTTTAGGATGTATTTACTCCATGATCAGATGTTGCTTTCATGGAGATGCACCATTTTACTCCATTTACCTTTAGATATACATTGATGTTAACAGACCATTAGTTAGTTAGTAACCTTTATTTAACCAGGAAATAAACCCATTGAGATTCAGAATCTCTAAGTCCTGGTCAGGATAGCAGCAGAAGAAGTTCCACATAAAGAAAAGAAGAACACACACAGAGACACAAAACAGTTACAGTATGCAAAACACAACAATAAATCAGCGTTCAGTAAGAAGATGTGCATTCAGTACTCAGAAACTCCTTAATTCTAGTTTTAAAATGTGTCACACTTGGCAGATAATCCAATTTAAAATAACTCTGTAAATTACACCAGGAGGAGGGGGCAAAAGCCTTGAAAGAGCTTTCGCCAAAAACCGTCCTTGTCAGAGGGATAGCGAACATGATCTGTCCATCAGACCGGAGATTACTCCTGTTGGTGATTTTGGGAGTTAAGAGGGAACATAGGTAAGAGAGCAAGTCACCTAGAATGGCCTTGTAAAGAAAGATATACCAGTGTTCCAATCTACGATTGCTAAATATATGTCAGCTAAAGATAATAAGGGCTTAGTTTTAGGGTCGAAAACATTTGCAAGAGTCACAACTCTTGAAAACAACAAATCACAGTTGGATTATTCACTTCAACTTTTTGTCTTTTGAGAGTCTGCAGACAAAAATCCTAATAAATCTAAACTGTGTTCAAACTACCACAAAAATGACTAAAAAGAAGCAACTGAGTAAAGAAACAAAAGTTCAGATTTGTACATCGAGGAAAGAAGGAAACACAGAAAGAGAAAAACACCTAAAGGTGTTTAACAAAGGAGTCCACTACACTCTGAAGAGACAAGAGGAACCTGGAAGTTCTGATGATAGAAAAAGACCTGGACGAAAGAGAGTTACTACAAAAGCAGAGGATAAACAGAGCATTGTCACCAGGAAGAGAGATCGGAGAAAGACAGCACCACAAATAAGGGAGGAAATCAACATGACAAGGTCCAAACCCATATCTGTGACAACCGTGAGGTTTGAGAAAGGCTGGTCTGAAGGGTTGAGTATCTGCAAAAAAACACGACTTCATCCACAGAAGAAGAAAAAGAGATATGAGTGGACAGAAGCTCACAAAAACTGGACTGATGATGATAGAAACAAGTTTGAACTGTTTGGTTCCAAACTCAGAGTCTATGTCTGCAGACAAACTGGTGAACGTCTGAAAGCTCCATGTGTTACACCCACAATTCAGCATGGAGGTGGTAGTTCATGGTATGGGGATGTTTATCAGGTGATGGAGGAGGAGATTTGTTTGAAGTAAAGGGGATCATGAAGAAGGAACTAAGGCTGCACGATATTGGAAAAAAATAATATTGCGATTTTTTTCAACCCTGCGATATATATTGCGATATTAAAAATACAGGAATTTTCACCAGATGACCTGAACAGCACTTAATGTTATGCTGCACTGCTGAAATCTTGAGGACAGTTAATCTGCTCTGATCTTACCTCTTTTTGTGAATGTTAGTAGAACGGCTTCTGTCTGTCTCAGAGATATTTTTAGCTTTTATTGTGCTGGGACGTTATTGTGGCAACAGATGAACACAGAAGACGTGTTTTGGTCGACATCATCCTTCTTTTAACCGAAATAATTCCAGATAACTGACTTTCCTTTTCTTTTTGGCAACAAATCTTCATTTTCGGTGGTTTCCTCTTGTTCGTTGTTCATTTTGCGATCGTTGTTGTTGT